GTGTGTGTGTGTGTGTGTGTGTGTGTGTGTGTGTGTGTGTGTGTGTGCAGACTTTCTGCTGATGGCAGTGACTGTCCCTGGTCCCCCACAATGGTCCAGGACAACAAAAGGAGCAGCTGAGTCATCATGACTTGTCCACAGATTAGCAGCGTGCCCTTTGACCCCACATTGTGAGCCAGCTCACAGCCAATGAGAAGTCAGAATCCTGCCTCTGTAGACTTGGTTTGGATGTGAATGTATATATATATCCCCTCTCATAAGGTCGGCGTCCATCACTTTCTCTAAAGGTCGGCCATTCCTTCAATTGTAACTGTAAGTTTTTCCTCTTTCTAACTTTTAAAGAACTGCTTTGGAAATGTTGTGTTTGTTTTCCTGTCTACTGACACCTTGGACTCAAAGAACCAACTAGGGACTGCCTCTTCTCTTAAACCTTAACTCTGGCCTGAACAGGAGGAATATTGACACAGAATGCAGTTTACGTGTTCATTTGTCATCCTGAAGTTAACATGAATGAGAAAGATAAGAGACTGCGCCCAGTGCTTTTGTCCTTAAAAAGCCGCTCAGGCCACTATTGACAGATTTGTGGATGATCATTGACTGTTCTTGCAGTCCTGGAATATTTACACAGTCAATACAACTTTAAGGTCAAAATCTGAGTTATTATAACTAAGTTAAGCATTAAAAACTGATCAGCCTTAGATTTATGTTCACATAATAACGATGTGTCCAAAATGCTTGAATATAAAGACACCCATAGTTTATTTTTTTATTTTATAATGAGCTCAATCATTTTCAGAACTGATTTTTTTTTTTATCCTTAATGAGCAGCTTGACTCTACTTAAACCCTGTTTTTGTTGAACTGGTGTGGTAGAAGTTCTCACCTTGATCCCAACTGTGATGTCACTGCTGGATGTGCCAGAAGAAAAACTGACTTCAAATGATGTGTTTCAGTTTGCTTTGTGTTGACTCATTTTATAGACTGCAAAAGTAAAACAAGCTATATCTGAAAACAGCCATTGGATAACTCTGAGAAAAACCTACTTTTAAATGAATAAGCATCAAGAATCTATCCAGCGAATCTTTAGAAAAAGAAAAGAATAGTAATCTTTGCGTTTAAATGACCACTATTTTAATTTAATTGCCGTGCTGGAGTTTATGCCATGTTCCAGCAGTCGAGTGGAAGTAATTATCCTCTTCAGGATCTCTAAAAACAGCTGATTGACTTCATGCTTCTTCCCTCTAGAGCTGATCATGTCTCACTCAGGTGCTCAAGGCAGCATAGGCAGCCACTCTGCCATTGGGCTGCGCAATCACAAGGTACTACTACAGTTTTCTTTTTAACATGAAGAGCCCTAAAAAAAAACATGAAAACAAGTAATTATGTATCTAAAGTACTGTACTTGAGAAACGAATGCTTTCAGTGTGTTTTTACTTTTCAGATATACCTCTATGAATACGAGAACTTCCAGGGACGTAGAATGGACCTGTTTGGAGAGTCCCGTAACCTGTGCGAGAAGGGCATGGAGAGAATCGGCTCCATCCGGGTAGAGATTGGACCGTAAGTCAATCACACTATAAGTGACAGCACACTTTAGGTTGCCCCTTTTCCTTATCTGTTTGTCCGCCTCTCCAGCTGGGTCGGGTATGAGCAGCAGAACATGACCGGTGAGATGTTCATACTGGAGAAAGGAGAGTACCCCCGCTGGGACACCTGGTCCAACAGCTACAGGTGTGACCGCATCATGTCAATCAGACCTCTCCGGATGGTAAGTTGTGGTGGACATTTTTCCGCCTGTTAACTTTTGGTTTTGTTTCTGGTGTCCGCCTCACGTTGCAGCTCGTGTCCATCTATTCTTTCTTTTGTCTTTTGCTGGCTCAAAGGAAATTTTTTTTTGGTGTGAGGGGAGGGGTTCACAGTTGTAGTTATACGTGTATTTATAGTCTTCTTCCATTTTTGGATGAAAGGATTCATTAGATGTCTTTTTTTGCAGCTGTTTCATTTTCAACTATAAAAAAAACCCCCAAACAACAAAAAGTATTCAGTGTTGTTTTTCAAGGATTTGATTTTATCTTCTAAAACATTTATATTACACAACCATTGTGTATTTATGCATACATCATTTATCCTCAGTAATCATAATAATGCTTTGGGGTTTTTTTTGTTTGTTTTTGTTTTGTTTTGTTTGTTAATCTAGAATAGAAATATGAACATTTACACAATCTGTGACAAACAATGTATTTCTCCAACAGGACCCGCAGGACCACAAGATCTGCTTGTATGAATGTGCAAATTTTGAGGGTCGTAAGATGGAAGTGTGCGACGAAGATATTCCAAGTTTGTGGTCTTACGGCTTCCAGGATCGTGTTGCCAGCATTCAGGTCACCGGTGGAACGTAAGCCATTTCTAGTTATCTTTTTTTGGCTAATTCGACTCAGGCTCAGTGGCAAATCCCCACTTGGTTTGAGCTCTCTGTTTAGGGCATGTTTTTTGGGTGATCGAGGGGTACTGTTCACCCTGACTGGAGGGGCATTGGGCCATAACTGGTAGACTTGATGACCTCACTGAAGGCCAGAATCCAAAATGCCTCTATCAGATAATATGGATTATTTATAGCTTTAGTGTATTTGGGCTCTTCAGATTCAAAGATTCCAGAATTAGTCAAAAGGCTCCTTTTCATCTGTAGTCTCACAGATCGGACAAAAATAATAACCAAGAAATATAACACACCGTCAGACAGTGTACACCTATATAGCCCATCAAATACTTAAAATTACAACATGGAAATCCACAGTGCAATAAGAAAAGACAGAACAAATAAATATGAAAACAGATGTAAAATATGAAGCACTGGGAGGTGTTGTCTTATACAGAAAATACCTTTGTCATTTGTATAGCAACGTAGGTGAAAACTGAAAGCTAAAGCATTGTAGTTAACCTCTGTTTCTGTCTTCTTCACATAGCTGGGTGGGTTACCAGTACCCTGGCTACCGTGGCTACCAATATATGCTTGAAATGGGTCCTTTCAAGCACTGGAATGAGTGGGGAGCCCACCACCCCCAGATCCAGTCCATCCGCCGCGTGAGAGATATGCAGACGCACCGTAGGGGCTGCTTCGAAATGACCGCATAGAGGAGTCCAGTTGACTAAAAAGGAGGGAATAGCAAGGGTGAAGTCATGCTGCTAAAAACATCCCCTGGAGATCCTTCAGCAGCCACATGGCCACACCAGCTAACAGCGTTTTAATATTGTTTTCTGGTAGGATTTGGAAGTATGTGGCGGGGTGAACGATTCTGAATGGGATGAAAATTTCTTATTGTCACAGACTCTCAGAGTAACTGTAACACAGGTTTAAAAAAACAGTAGCAAAGCTCTCTGTCTACAGACCTCATGGAAAGATTATATGATTTATCTGAACGGGGGATTAAAGGGGATTAGTGGATTTAATGGTTTGTGTTTATTAGTTTGTTTCAATGCTATTTTTCCAATCATACCTGCAACTCTTTGATTTTATTTTTATTTACTCTATGATGTATTTCAAGCTAAAATGATGTCACTAAGCCTGTTCATCACGGAGCTCTCCTTCTCCTGGGATCCATAGTCTAGTCTAGAATAAAGGTACACATATCATATCTGCTTACAAAGTACTACCATGGACAGCTCTCAACCCAACACATGGCCTGCAGTTATTTCTCCAGGCAGAGGGAGGCACCATATCCTCATCGCAAAGCAACAGCCTCAGAGACTGGAGGGCAATGCTGGTTAATCATTAAAATAGACTTAAAAGGAAGAAGAAGAAAAAAGAGCAGTGCAGAGCTGTGGGTTGCTGATGTGAATATCTTTTGGCTGGCCTGTTTCACCTCACTGATGGGGCTGTCCAGAAGGTTTGCATTTTAAATGTTCTCAGGGATGCTGGCATCTGGAAAGCAACTTTCCAATGGAAAAATAAAAGAACTGTACCTGAAAGCAAGTCTCACTGGGCCTACTTTCTTTTCTCTCTTGTTGTTTTTTGCTTTTCTTCAGATGTTGCTGATGTTCGATGCTGCTCAGACTGGCTATGAAACAGCAGTCTGAAGTGCCTTTCTTTGTCATTCAACTCGCTCTTTTGATTTTCCAGCCTGGAACTCAAGTTTCTTGTTTCTGGTTCACTCTCAACACATTCACTGGACCCTACCTGCTGGCACACAAGCATCAGACAGATGTGAACACGTGGATCTTCAAAGCAGACAGTGCCAAAGCATAATCTAGACCATATGGTCTAAATAGTTCTGTGACTATATCGTGACATTATTTGGTTTGCCGCATTTCTATCTTGATGACTCTCTTCAGCTGTGCAGTGCCAAGCCTCAGCACCGATTATATTTCGGAGGCTAAATACCTGCCCTAAAAAACAAAACAAAAACAGAGAGTCTTGCGTTGTGTAGCTTGCACATTCGAGCTCCGCCGTGCACTTTAGCACCACTGTCTCTTTCCACACAGCGGTGCAGTGAACGCGCCATCCACAATACGATTTCCAGCGGTTATTCCTGACCCCCGCTAACTTCCACGCGGGAGGTGCCAGAGCTCATCTCGGAGGTGCGAAACTGTTATTGAGCAAAAAGCCAACCGCGCACGCACCGGCAGCGCATGACGAGGCGCGCAGACGGACAGCCACGCATCGCCGGTCGCTTTAAAGCCGCAGGATTTGGATTAAATAGCTGCGAGAGAACCGATGAGGCTTGGAGGAGGAGGGAAGGAGGGAGGGAGCCGAGGGCTGATTTTTATCTTTTACCGGATCGAGAAGGGGAGGAGGCTCGGAGAATGAGTTATTCTTGTAGCAGAGCAGAGCCTATTTGCTGTACGGCGTATTAGCCATCGCGTAACTAAAGGCTTCGACGCAAGTAAATCGGCTCCTGCGGCGACGACGCCGAGAACATCAGAAAGCCTCAGTTCCTGCCAGGTCGCGCTCCGAACAACCCTCTCCTGCCGGACATGAAAGTGCAGCAAGGCTGCAACTCATCAGACATGGGCATCCCGGTTACAACCGAAGAAGAATTGCGCAAACACACCGTAATAACGCCCGAGGATGTGCTCGGGCTACAGAAGATCACCAAGAGTGAGTAACCCGTCGCAACTCGCACGATACTGGGGGATGAGTTCAGCCTTACTGTTAGATGGGATTAGTGCAGACCCATGTGCTCCTTCCTTGCTCGCGGTGTCTTTTTTTGTAAATGTGCTTTCCTTATTGACAGATACCATGGACAGCGACTCTGACATAACCTCCGAGTGTTATAGCTTAAAAAAAAAAGATTAACCACTTGTAATCAGTGTGCGTTTCAGTCAGTGTGCAGTTGTAGATTAGATGTCTCGTCCAACTGCAGTTGTATTTGCCCTGCAAAGTTTGACTGGTACTACTAATGCATCAGTGTGTGTGTGTGTGTGAATGCTTCTAGTTGTTGTTTTTTTTTTGTACCTCTGTGCTTGACTGTGTGGGCACTGAAAGAGACAGCAGGTGAGTGTAGGTGCTTCTAATGTGCGCCTCTCAACTCCCACTGCAGGGGAGGGGGGCCTGAGTGATGCTTACTACTCCCTCACCTCAAGATACCTGTGGCTCTGAGGTAACAGGTGGCCGGAGAGGTGATCCACTGATTATAGCTCCTCTCAGACAGTTGGAACGAAAACAAGACAGTGATACCATTAACTTGTTGTTTGTCATATATAACTGACACTTTCCACATTATGTAATGGAAGCAGGGAGGCCACAGAGGCTCTCCCCAGCACCAGGCCTGCTTCCCAACACTTTAATAAACTTGTGCTGGAGAAGGGGAACAGTGAAAGCCTCTCTCACGTGTCTTCTTCTCACAAGGATGTTTCACGCAGGTGCTTTTAGTCCATCTATTGCATCTCTGTGGTGATCAAGGATGCACTATTATGAAACTGTACAATTTGTGGAGGTGGCTTGTGTGAAAACTTACAGTATAGTAACACTACTCGAGGCCTGCGACAGTTAGTGTGAGCAAAGAAATGTGATTAGCTGATTTTACTTTAGTTTTTTTGAGCCTCATCTTAACAACTTTAGGAGCAAATGTGACCAAACTGTTACTAATGACTGGAATATCCATATGCAGTATTAAAAGACTGTGTGTGATGAAGCACTAAATCACACCCCAACTCAATGAGAAAAAAAGATGCTAATCTAAACATTAGAGTTAAGATTGCCCAACTATTATTATGCAACAAGAAGGGATTTCAACAAGTGACTGATCTTTCGACAAAGTGAAAAGGCAAACAAATCGAATTTTTTTACCTTTATTTTTATTTATTCAGTTCAGTTTAAGTCAAGCTCTCATTCTTTTCTCAAACAGTCACATGGATTTTCATCCAGTAACCCCTCAGAAGAGGAGAGGCAGTGCTCGGCCTGCATCAGCCTGATAATTCCTAAATCACTCGTGATGGTGCGGTAATCTCCGCTCTCCACTGACATGTAATCTGGATTATGTCAGAATGGCTGTAACAGCATTCTGCAGTGGAGCCATACACCTCAGGTAATTAATGACCCTGGAGACTAAGAATAAGCTTACAAATGTGCTTGCCACTCATTCATTTATTGAGCTGCACCCTGTTATAGACACGCGGTGTGGCTGTAATCCTCGATGGTGAAAGATGACTTTTTCAACCTGTCGTCAAACCCTATTTCTCACCGAGGTGTCCAAAAGTGGTTCCAAGTCCTAACCATTTAACAAAAAACACACACACACATCCCACAGATAAGCACAGTTTTATATAATTTGGGTTATTGTTTTCTGCTGCAAGGGAAAGAAAATCTTTTCTAGAAAAGGCGTCTGCAGAAAATACCGCAGCCTGCTGTGTAAATGACTTCTCCTTTTGTGCTTTTGGGAAGCAAATGCCACCATTTTGGGGCAGCCCAGCTCCAGTCTGTCACGGTGGTTCAGTGCTGATAAGCAAGGCACAGCGCCTCATTGTCACACAGGCAGAACGGAGAAGCAATATAATCCAGGCAGATGAGAAACAGTGCTGTGACATGAAAAATGGCACATAATCAGTTCACTGTTTGCATTACAGATGATTTATGATATGGCTACAGACGGACATACTGTAAGCAGACTTACTGCTGACACTAAATTAATGTTGCGCTTGTAATCCTGTAACCTTATATCAAGAATTACTGATGGACAAGAGCGGCGTGAAATATGTTATTCTTGGTTATAATCAAACACAGATTTCTAAAAAAAACGGGAGACTTAAATTTAAAATATTTGATCCTGTTACAGACGTTTTTGGAAACATTCTATGTTTATTTAATTCTCTATTGTAGCCACTTTCCTGTCATCCACCATGTCTAACTATGTCTCCATGTAAGTGCACTTGAGTGCCGCAGAAAGGCAGTCAGGATTTCAGGCAAATTGTGCCTCTTGCTGAAAATGCATTTAAATTTCCAGCTGACAATTTAAAACATACAGTCCACAGTGAGATTACAGCTACCTGAGAGATCCAGATCCCTGAAATACTGCTGTCAGACAGAAAACGACCCTTTGTTGGAACACTATGGGAAGGGTTGTGACTGTGGGTGTGTTTGGTTTATGATATCAGTGTGCAGCAGTGGATGCATTCACTGCTGCACACCAAAACCATAAAAATACTGAATCAGTCATTCATTACACCTCAGCTGTTTAAACAAATTATAACTGATTTGAACTGGTCTCTGTCAAAAGTGCTCATTCTCCACACCTGCACTGAATTAACTGTATTTAACGTTTACCTTTCCTTGTATTGACCCTGTGAACGAGAAAATGCTAACTTCCTGGTTTGAGACCGGATGTGGGGTTGTACTTTGCGGTCAATCGCTACTGCGAAGATATCCTCCAAAATCATGTCCAAAACTCGAAAACGGAAAGATCGTGTTAAGTTACAAAGAGCAGAAGGTGGGAACACTCACCACTGTTGTGTCATAAAAATCTAATGATCAATTTTGACGTTTAAAGAGTTTAGATCAATCAATTGTTTACATCACTCAACACAAGCAGAACTGCAGCAGAAGACACATCGTCCACATTCAGCAGCACATCTCTGTATAGTGACTGGTCTTATGATTTAAACAGGCAAATGTTCAGCATTCAAACTACAGGTGAACAATAGTCAAACCAGATGTTTCCCGTTATGTCAATATCAGCTAGTCAAGTACACACCTACACAGCATGTTAACAAACCGTGAAAAAAGCCACACAAAAAATGAATGATTGCTGGTAAGGGTTTCTATACATTAGTATTTACGAAGGGTATGTTGTGACTTACCTTCAAAATTAGTGGTCCCTCGCTATAACGCGGTTCACCTTTCACCTCGCTGTTTCGCAGATTTTTTTAGTGCAAGTTTGCATGTTTTTTTTACATCACATTGTGTCCTGCGTCCTGATCGCTGCTGACGATCTCCTCCGTGACGTCTCACCTGTACAGTACAGAATCATACTTGATCGCTAGCAGTGTGACTCTGAAGTGCAGTACTGTATGTCCACAATGTCCACGAAACGTTTTGCACCGTCAAAAAATAAAATTGGCTACTTGATTTCACCTATCGCTGGTTATTTTTAGAACATAACACCCGCGATAAACGAGGGACAGCTGAGAAATATAACATTTGAATCCCTTTTCTCTTTTGCTCTGAGGCGCGGGGAAAAAATATCGACAAGTCGATGAACATCATTTACAGATATATTGGGTAAATACCCAAGACATCTATAGAAATGTAAATCGCTGCTTGATTCATTCATTTGCTTAACTTGTTTTGGACTGTAAACAGGGCGCGAATAGGACACCGGAAACAAAGCTCCCCACAGGAGTTTCCGCACCGGAAGTAGCATATGCTAATGTGCACACAGTCAATTCTGCTGTTGATACAACTAATATACATAACCAAACTTTCAAACACTGAGGTCACGATCAAAGATGGACTTACTGGTTTTGTTCTTCAGCCTGTTGTTGCACTGTACCTGATATGGATGAAAGAATGGAGTGCAATTTATTAGCTAATGCTAGTTAGCGCAGTTAGCTGCAATCATAAACTGACAGCTACAATGCAAAGACACCCATACAGGCTAATTAGTGCTAATTTGAATGAATGAACATAATGATGGATACACTTCATGGATTTGCCATCCATTTTGCCATCCATGAAATCCAACATAAATGCCCCAAAAGACACAAATACAGTAAAGAGGTTCAGTTTAATGACTGTTCGATGCTAGATGAGGCTGTAGGTGGTCTGGCGAGGAAGGAGCGGCTAGCAGGTCCAGCGGGCATGTGGTGTGGAGGTTTGCCGGACAACTTAGAGGCCAGTCAATTAGACAGACAAACATATCTTTATTTGGCAGAACAAGACCAGACAAGCCAGATCTCCACGGCTCTACCCTATTTGTACCTTGATGAGAATAAATACGTATTTTTTTCTCTTAGTTTTTAGGTACAAGCATAAAGCTGAAAACCAGCGCAAAGAGACTTCAAAGCTATCACCACAGTGATTCTAAATTAGAAACATAAAATGGTAGAAACAAAGGCTTCAAACCTGATTGTCCATCACTGCTTTCATTACCTGATGAAGATCAGGCTTTGGCTACTGGGCTGGGATCAGCAAACATTCAGATTTAACATCATCCTGGGTTCTTTACTAGCTTTGCATTAGCATGTTGTCTCTACAGGTGCTTGTGAAGCAGTGTAATGCATTTGTTTCTGTCTTGGATGCAGTTTGCACTTTACCTTCTCTCTCTTGCCCTTCTGGGAAGTAAAAACAAAAGTAATGTCCGCTGTAGACTGCGCTGCTATTTTCCTCCTGCTACACATGAACTTTAAAAACTTTATCCACGCGGCACGCAGAGAACTGAAGACCTTTTGTAATGACATAATTGTAGCTAATGTAATTACTGAATTTAGTACAGTATTGCATTACATTATTGCATTGCTGTAAGCTTTTAGACTTTGTAACCTGTTGGAGTCAGTCTTGAGCAGCACACAGAGGAAGTGAAGATTTAGCCACTTACATGCTGGCTTTATTTTTCAGAGACCAGAGACGGTCCAGTCAGACCCTTCTAACACAAGCTTTTACAG